CTGCTGAGAAGTGTTTCTTCTGTGGTATACTAAAGTATTAGTATTGCTTAATTGTACATGTAAGTATTTGGTAGTCATTCCTTGCTTGTCAGCCAAGGTGAGCTTAACTAAGGAGCAAGCAAAAGCCTGTAAAGATTTTTACAAGATGTTTATTCTATTTAAATGAGAAATCTGAATTTCTGTATCCTTTTTTTTTTAAAGCTCATGTTAATCTGTGGATGTTGTCATTAAAATATATAGTGCTGGTACCAGTCTTGGGCAAGATACAGCAGTGATTTCATAGCTATTCAAGGTTATTTTCCCATTTATTTGTTATTTTGTCCCATTCACTCAAGGGATAAGCCATGAAATACAGAAAATGAGTATGACACAGGCACGCTGGACTTTAAGGATCATTTGAGTTAGAGTATACAGTCCTTACTTTCTCTACACCTTCCTACCCATCTTCTGTCTATAAAAATTGAAGAGTTTCTTGAGAATATCCTTGTTTATATCACATCCGTGTTTATCTCTGTAAAGATACTGAAAGACTTTTTCAGCACTGCCCTTGAACTGCTGATCAGTTCAACTATGTTAGGGAAGCAAGCAGTGGGGAACGGCCAATCCCCTTTTGAACTAGTTGAGTGGGGCTTAGGTTATCAAAAGCTAACGTCTAGTTTCTTTTCCTGAGAAAATTGAGTAAAACAGATTGATATTTGTCTGCAGCAGCTTGCCTGTTATCTATATGTAACAGGAGTGCCAGTTTATGAAGATAGAGCTATTCTGGTGTTAAGGTTAGGAGAAGTCTTTGCCTCTATCCAGAGTTTTTAAATGCCTTATTGGAGAAAAAAATTTCTCAGGACTGTTACCGGTGACATAATTTTTCCTTACATATCGAAGACTAATAAAAGGAAGAGATGGATTTTCTGTGGAACACTGGTTATTAGCACAGCAGGGAGCACTGATTGCCAATCTCCTTCTCAGACTTCTGGCATCAAGCATCAGACTGTAAAGGTCTAGAGCAGCAGGAGGAAAAAATATAATACTATCTTGCCTAAATCTGCTCACCAGCACTGCTCATAAGAGTTGCAAAAAAAGACCAGGTTCACAGGATGTGTTCAGAGCAGGAACACTCAAGGTGCTTGGCTCTGTCTTAGCTTTGAATGTATCTGTTATCTCTACCAGTATTTATAAACTTTTTTCTTTTTTTTTTTGGTTATAGAAGAAACTCTTGGCATCAAAATTATATGTGATTAATTATCATTATATGTGATCCTCTCTCTTCTTTCTCTGTGAAATTAGTGATTTAACAGTACTGAAAACTAAATACTTTTCACCAGATATCTCTACTTTCACCATGCTGAAGTGCATGAGCTCAGCTCTAAGAGGTATTGACTAGCATCTGTTTACTGATTTCTCTAAAATCATCATTCTGATTTTTCCTTTTCTATTCTGGGTAATATATTTTTTATTTTTGTTGTTTTTCCTCTCCCCTCCTCTTTTGAGGTATGAGCAAAGAGGATGGCAGTTTCCAAGTTTCTAAAAATCACAAATATCCTCCAGATTCTTCTAAGTCCTCTTTCACATAGACATAAATAGGTCAGGCAAGCATACTTTTTACTCTTTGGATCAAACCACACCTTCCCACCCACCCCTTAATGGAGTTCTTAATGGAGTATTCCAGACAAGAAGCTATAATTATGTACTCGGCCTATTTCATATAAAATAGAGCCACGACCTGATTAACACAAAAAGGAATTAGCTTTATTAGCTCTACCTTGGCTAGATCTCTGGCTCAGAAAAAGAAAATTCAGATAAAAATCAGATAAAAGCCTTTACAAATAAACTGAGTATTCTTTCTCACTTACTCACCAAGAAAGTCATAATAAAAATAGTAATTCTTCATTAAAACAAAACATCTATTAATATCATGTGTTACAAAATGAGTTGCTTGAACCAAGGAGTTTAACATTTTCAGGGACAAAGGGTACTTGACTCAAATGTATTACAAAGCTTAATATTTTATGTTTTCTAAAATTTCTTCATCATTATTTTTTCTTATGCATAACCCTAAGAATGTCAAAAGTTCTTTTACTTTGTCTTCTCTTCTATTAGTTATGGGTGAGTCACATCTGTCTAGTGAACCTAGAGAAAAAAGGTAGCATATAATTTATAGCATTACATAAAACAACCTGTAGTTAGTATATTGAATAGATCTTACTGAAAACATATCAGAAATTTGTTTTTTTTTTCATAATAAAAATATTTTCCCATTTTCCGGGAAACTTAGTAACTTTTATCTTACATTTTAATTTTCTGATCCACTCATTTTTTAAATAGAGAATATCACTGGGAAACTATTCCAAATTGTTCTAGATAATAAATAAACCCTAAAAAAAGTAATAATTCATAATAAGGAGAATTAATAAGTCTTATTTTTGGTAGCACTTCGACATCCTACAGTTTGAAATATCTACTAGCTGAAGCCAATGCTTTCATCGAGGTCTAAGGGGCTCTATACTGCAACTTTAGCTAAATTAAATGTAAGATTTTAGATAGAATCAGTGGTTGAAACAAGCTAGTGTAGGCTAACTGAGTCGAGATGCTTCGGGTTCAACTTCCATACCACTATTTCTGGTGTTCCACTTCAACCCTCATTCTGCTCAATGAATTACGCCACAAAGGCATATCAGAAAACATGTGTGTGCATGATACAAAACTATTAGAAGTAAAGTTTTTCTTATCAGTACTAGCATGCTTTAGAAGTAAGGTAGACTTCGTGCTGAGAAACAGTTTAATAAAGTGCAATCAATACACCACTGAGCTGCAGCAAACTGACGTCATACTCCAAA